TTAGGCAGAGACCTAAGAATTTTTCTTACATTTTCGGAGGTAGAATATACTTTTCCAAGATTTTTCAAAGCATTTAAAATATTAGTAAATCTAGTAAACATATCACCAATAGGTTCATTTTCCTCCATTTTAAATAGTTCATAATTATGAACTAACATGCTAATTTTTGTTTCTTTAACTTGATTGGTTCCCTCATGAGTTACTTCAAGAGTTTTCCAAATTTCATATGCCGAAGAACACATACATACTCTATTAAATTCATCATTACTTAAGGCACAATACAGACAATTGATAGCACTAGCATTCAAAGAACATTTTTTCATATCATGCTCATCAAATTCATTTTCTAATTTAGGCACCTCAATATTATTAACAATTTTTATTGGAATGTAAGGACCATTACTAACATTTAACCACAATTGATAATCAACGGATTGCAAATAAATTTTCATCCTAGCTTTCCAACATGTATAATTTGTTCCATCAAAATAAGGTGGCCTAGAAGTTGATTGTCCTTCACTAAAACCATTTTTAACACGTAGGTTTGCCATAAGCTCGAACAATAAAGTTTAGATAAAAAATCTATAGGAGCAACCTGCTCTGATACCAATTGTTGGATCGGTATGGCAACCCTAGAGGGGGGGTGAATAGGGTTTTAACGATAAAAGTGTTTAAACTTGATTAATTTTTCTAATGATAAAACTTTTTACAAATAAGTAGAAGATGATAATTACTAAAACAAAATAATTCAAGTCAAAACAATAATCAAGTAGAACATGCAATAAACATAATAATAATCTTGAAATTAAATAGGAAAGAGTTAGAGAAAATGACACCGTAGTTTTATAGTGGTTCGGTCAAACTCGACCTACTCCACTCCCCAAGCGCCTCTTGGGAATTTGAATAAAGAACTTTTCCGACTCTTTCCACGGATCAGAGCCAAACCGGTACACCGCTCTTTTTACGAGTTCAAGAGCAAACTCAATCCTTTCAACGACGCAGGATCAAACCGATACAAGTATTTGAGTTTGATAATAACACACCACAACTCTCTCAAAGAGTAGATTTACAATTTGGGATACTGACAACTATTTCCTCACAATATAATAATAATCCCTCTCAAGAATAAGATGAAAAGAAATAAACTTGTAAGCTTGGAGAGAGCAATAAACAATGGAGACTTTGAACAAATGAGGATTGAAGAATGTATGTAAGTTGTATATTTTAAAAATGTGGGGAAGATGAGTTTATATAGAGGAGAAAAGTGGCAAAATGTAGGATTGAATATTGACCATTGGATTGTGTTAGGAATAATGGAAGGTGGAGATTAAAAGTAATTAAGTAAGAAAATTTTCTAAATTCATTTATTTCAAAATTTTAATATAATAGTAATATAATATAATAATAATAAAAAGTTATGTGAGTAACGGTAAAATGTAATTCAAAATTTATTATAAATATAATAATATAATAATAATAAAAATGATGTGAGTAACTACCAAAATTTTAAAATATAATAATATAATAATATAATATAGTAATAATAAAATTCGATGTGAGTAACGGTTATATTCAAATTTATATTTGTAAAAATAATTTTATTTAGAAATGTAATAATAAGAAAAACTCCACCATGTGTTACTCTTCCAATATTATAAATGTCATACTTTGATATATTTTGATTTGTCCATCATTTTGATTTTGTTGCCACATCATCACGTCGGGTATGTTGTCTCGACTCTAATTTCTTCGTTTTAGCTCTGATTTGAGTAATTGAAAAGTTGTTGTAATCGTTATTCCCGACCTTATACTGTGGACAGTTCAAAAAAACTGAAAATAGTTAATAATTAAAAGTAGGTTTGTTATCATCAAAACATCAATAATTAATTCATTGAAATTAATTAATGTGAGATCAAGGGCCAATAAGCCAACAACAACCATAGTAAAAATCACATACATATTGTTTAGGTTTAAAACAATACTACAACTTACATTTCATCCTTTAATTTTACTTATTCCGCTAATCATTTATATTTTACATGTCATATTTTTAAAATTATTCCAATTTATCATTTAAATTAGAGATTTTAAACCATCAAAGTTAAATATTTATGAATGAACACACTGTTTTTTTAAGCACAATTTTAATCAACCTAATATTAAAAGTCATTTACCTCACTCAAAATATTAAAAGTCATTTACCTCACTTAAAAGCTCGTTTCTCCTAAAATTAGGAATTTTCTTTTTTAAATTCATTAAAAGTTTCTAATTAAGCTCTAAATTCAAAATAAATATTATTAAAAAAAAACGAATTAAATGGGCCAAACGGGTTCAACTGACTCAAACAAGCCGGTCCAACTGAACCGTGTATTTCTAACTCCAACCGCGAAACCAATGGCTTTTCCTTTCTTCATGAATCAATCTTTTTTCCATTTTCTCTATTTTTTTTTATTAATGGGTTATAAAAAAATAATAATTTACAATATTATTATTATTATTATTATAAATAATGTCGACTAAGTGCTTTAATTTTTTATATATAAAATGTTGTGTAATATTAAACATATGGGAGAATAATGGAATAATTTATAACAATTATTGTTTAAAAATATTAATGCGAATAGTGATTGAAAAGTGAATACTTGGAGAAGTGGTTGATGCAAGGTTGGATCAAAACAGTCCTATATTTAATATGTGGACCAAATATTTATTTATTATTTTTTATTTTTTACAAGTTTATCAGTTTTATAAATTCATTTCCTTTTACCTAATTATTAATATAAAATATTTCAAATTAGAAGTGAGAATAAAGCAGTGAAACCCACCAAAATATTCGAGCTTTTAATCTTATGTTTTTTCTGCTTAATCTACCATAAAATAAATAAATAAATAATTTTTAAAGTTAATTAAATCATATTATCATATTAAAATTTGAATTAGGAGAGTAAAGTTTAAAATAATTAAAATTTGAATGAGGTAAATAAAAAAATCAAATAAATTTATTTTACCATGTGTAACTTTCCTAGATCTATATCGTAAAAGATCTGTTTAGATCATACAAATATTTTTTTTCAATATCGCTTTTGTTCATTAATTCCAACGTATGGACTTTGTTAGTCTTTTTATCAACGCAACTCGTCGGAGAGAGATAATTGATAAATTCCCACGTGCTTAAAGCATTTAGCAAAGAAGGAAACAACTCCCTATTGCCAAAGTTTTAAGCTTACAACCAAATTATCTCCATCAATAAGGACTTGAAGCCAATTGGAGTAATTGTCTCGTTTTAATAAAATAGTCATTTCTACATAAAATTTTATCAAGAGCTCTACGAAAAATTATATTCAAGAATTTTGTGGGTTTAGTACGAAAATTGTTATGGATTAAATTATAAGAAGTATTATCTATGTTTTTTTGTTGTAAAAATTATTATTTCATTAAATAATTTATCTAAAAATATAAAATAATTCTTTTAGACAGATAATGTATAAATAAATTTAATATTTAACATTTTTCTTTAGCATACTTTTTAGAAGAAATTGATTCTTTTAACAAGTATGTGACGTGTTTATGTGTCCAATTATATCGATAAAATAATAATTTGATAATTTATCAACTTTTTATAAACAAGTTTTAATAAAAAAATTTGGTGTGGGTAAAAATTTTACTCCATGTTCATAACTTTTTTAAAAATGAAAAATAATAAATAATTAAGAACAGTGTTATTTCTATGGGGGTGTAGAAATTATAACGTAGTTCCCAGGGTATTATTTACGTGAACTGTCATTTCATGGGCCTTAGTTATCACACCTCTTAATGGGCTGAGGGCCCATGGGCCTACCACAATTTAATGTTGTAGTCGATACATAATGGGGTTGTTGGGCTTTTATGACAAAGAATTTGTCATGGGCCCCAGCTAGAAATAGGCCCATTTTCATATCATGGGCCCCATCCACGATAGATCTTTTTCAGATGGGGTACTTGTCCTTTTCTTTCTTGCTTCAACAATTTCGGCACGTTTCAGCTGGTAGTGGGCCACACATATTTATTTATTGAAATTAACGAAATATAACACCCACAACAATTTTAAATAAATAAATAAATAAAGGGTCGATTGAAATAAATACTAATAATTTATGTGTAAATTGTGAGAGTTAGAAGAGTGTTGATATTCTTGAAAATGCAAAGTGTTATTTCAACAAATTTTATGTAATTTTAGGGATATTTTTGCAATTTTCTTTTTAAGGGGCTTGAATTGAATAGTTCTTAATCGCACAATCATCTTAGATGCACATGACGACGAAATTTATGAGTACGTGTTTCATGTTGGTGAGTCCCACAATGAAAAATACATGTTGGTCGGTCCCACAATGAAAAATACATTGTCGTGTAGCTAATATTATAGCATGTTTCATATTGTTTGCCTCTATATTAAATTAAAAACATAGAAATTATTGAAAAGAATAGTAAATTTAAGTTAAAATATATAAATCATACATTTAAAAAATGAAAATTACATTATTTATTACTAATTGACGTCTAAAGTTGATAACTATTAGGAGTAGTCTCACGTTAGCTAATTAAGAAAAGAATAATGAATTTATAAGTAAGAAATATAATCTATATTAGTATGAGGCGTTTTGAAAAATCAAAAAGCAAAATCATGAGAGCTTACGCTTAAAGTGGACAATACAATATCATACTATCGTAGATATATTAGAATAATATCCATAATATTTCCCTGTTAACTATAGTTAAGTACGAGGAGATGAATGATACTTCTCGAACCTCCAAACTCATTGAAAGAAGTATCCGACAATCTATCTTTAGTTCACTTTAAATGAAAATTATTATTATTATTATTTAAAACTTATTTTTCTTTCACTTAGTTTTAAAAAATTAATTATTTTATTTTAATTTTAAAATTTTCAATTCACTTCCTAAGTAATTGTGAGGCTACATTGCTACTGTTCTCATGTTTTAATTAAAAAACAAGCATGCACTAAAAAAATATTGAAATTTTAAATAGATTTTAAAAAAAGGGAGAAAAACTACATGTCGTCAACCATAAAATCAAGTAACATTTGGTTTCTGAAATCCAAATCTCCCAGCCGACCCGTCGTATGAAAAATGCGGCCGGTTTTCAATATTCAAGTGCACCGGGAAATTTTCACTGGAATTTCCGATGGACGAATTTGGGTCTGGTTTGGGGAAGAATTACATGAAAGCCACCATCTCTATTTGACTTGTTTCGTTCTCATCCCAAGCTCTACAAGCAGTGTCAAGATTGCCTCACACATCTCACAAGCATCGGGATCACCTACATTCTTAGTCCTGGAAGAGTAAACCATCCAAGCGTGATCGAGCTTCTGGCTCGGTCTCACAATGACCGAGCCAGGAACTTCAGCATCACGACATGTCACCAAACCGTCGCTCTTCTCTCCATACCGAAGCTGCAAATGAAGAGCACACAATGCCATGACAGCAGAAAGGGGAATCACTATTGGAACACGCCGCCCGCCCTGCACCACCGTGTCGGATTCTGTCCAAGAACTTGGAAGAGGTAGCCAAGGTAGCTCAGCATGAGCTATCTGAGTCATTGTAGCAAGAACTCCTGGTGCAACATGTGCTTCAGAGTGGAAGGAGAGTATTGGTATGTTCTCCGGGAGGTCGTGATTTGAGATGAATTCCTTCCGCTTCTCGTACGTTAGATCCTCCAATGCTCGAATGTCGCCCTACAAAAACATAAACCAAACATTCCAATAAAGAAACAACACTGCATTCCTGAAGCTGAAGATAAGTTATCTATCTATCTATCATATGTTCCATAATTTTCACGAAAAATGTCAAGAAGTGCACAGACTCACTGTTTTTTCTCCTTTTCCTCGCCTCATCAGACCGACAACTATCCCTGACAATGAAGCAATTGAAAAGGCAAAAGAAAATACAACCTTGATGATCTTGCATATTAAGAGCTCCATGATCCTCCGCGTCTCTTTGTCAGCAACCTGCCCGTCGCGAAGGAAATCCGAAGCCAATGGGGTTCCACCATATGGACTTTGTACCAGAGCCAAGCCAGCAACTTTATCTTTCAAGTCATTGCAGTAGATTGATAATGCAGCAGCAGCATCAACCCCACCCTTGCTATGCCCAAGCAGCATCACTCGCTTGCCCGAGCCCCAGTAAAGCTCCTCGACGTATTCTTTTAGCTCCCAGGCATTGTGTTCCACAGACGCCTTCAAGCACGGAAAAGGAGCTCAATCAAATCTATAATTGGGAAACAAAACCAGTATACATTTGATCGGTCCTGTTCGTTTATTCGTTCTTTCGTTGCACATACCAGGAGAAGGGAGATAATTTATTACCTCACTATGAATTTTAGCAATATGGCAAGTAAGGCCCATCTTTGAAAAAAATCGCTTGGTTCCCACAAAATACAAGGGACCATGATTGCTAAATAGACCTGGGAAGTCAAAATTTCCATTACAATGGTGAAAGAAACACTTCAAAATGCTCAAAACAAATCAGAGTTCTTCTTCTACCTGGAATTAATAAATAAACAAACGAGTTGGGTAGTTTGTGTTCTCCGTTCCTAAATCGAAACAAATGGAGTAGAAAATTTAAGAAATCTTGAATACAAAAGGATAATATATATCATAGTTTAAGAAAACATGATTCAAAATAAACAACATCATCAAACAAACACCATGACGAATAACTCGATAGTCATTACTCGGAGTTTGAATTAAATAGTTGTAGAGAATTCGATGCGCTATTGAATATGTCACAAGAGTATGAATTAAGCCTACCAGATTCAAAAAATGTATTATATGTATGAAGTTTGTGAAGATTATAACCTTATCTCAGAGAGCAATTCCAAGAATCTTTCTGTTCCATCAACAACAGGAGGCATACCAGGAGTGTTTTGCAGCCATCCAATATCTTCCGATGAACCGATCAAGGTTTTTTGAATTCTAAATATTATACTGTACCAAATAAAAAATCAGTCAGTTATCTTTAAACGTGAAGATCGATCAGAGTTCAAGAAATTAAATAACACACAGTATATAGATTCGAACATCGGTCCACGAGAACAGAGCATACGTTCAAGAATATGTTTTCTTACTTTGAAAGGCGAAGTTCGACCCATTGAATGCACGAGAAACAATCTCTCAAGAAGCATAATGCTAATTTTTGAACAAACTGTAAACCGTATAATGGGAGCATCAACCTGCACCAAAAAAAAATGGCCGGACTGAATATAGGTGAACAAGAAGTTCTAAGCTTATTTCACAGAATAACAGTAAAAACTTTAAAATTAGATCTTCTAGGTTCAATGAGACTACTTTATAGGACTTTCTAGCAAAAAGACATATCAATTACCCTTGAAAAATGGGAGAAGCAACCTCGTAACTATAAATACTTTCTACATCTGATGTTCTATCTACGAGCAAACCGTTCCTTGAATCCGAGGCACCGGCAATGCAAGGTATGAAGGATGATGAACCTTCCGAAACAGATCTCTGCCTGTTCTGACCAGAAGGATTCAAACAAACTTCTAGCGGAATGATGATATGGTCGGTGAGAAATCTGTCGACATCTCGAGCTACAATATCCTCTGCCACAAGCAACACCAAAACGGTTAAAGTACAACAGTTATAGGAATGTATTGTCCATCTTTACTATAAGGATGCAATCAAGAATGGCAGAGAAATAAGAAACTAAGTGATACTACATGCGCGAATTAACAAACCGTACCGATAAATCCAACAAATCGACGAGTTATGTAACTAGCCAATGCCAAGAGATGAGTACAAATCTCATCCAATGGTGATACAATACTGAAGATTTGAAGAGCATCACCATGTGCCTGAGATGAATAGCAGCAATATGATATCTGGAAGGCCAGGCTTGATATGTTCTAAAGACAATCGAGCACATTATACAAACTCGAAACCGATTTGCAAAATTAGCACTCACCGCGGAAGCAATCTCATATAGTTCATTCTGAGTGTGTACATCTCCCATCCAATCTTCAATTTCTGCGATTATATCTTATAATTTCACAATATGATGAGTAGAAGCAGAAGAATTCGGCAACATTTAGCATACAATATGAGAGTAGCAATTAAGTATCCGATCATTTCAATGTTGATATCTCCATCATATAGTAAAAAAAATATCAACCAAATACTGCTAATGCGAACATAACACTAACATTTCCATAAAATCGAGAACTCCCAAATTTATTTTGGTTTTGATTCAAGATCCTTCTCGAAAATAAGAACATCAAAGAGAAATAAACAGCAAATTTCCAAAAACAACATTCAAAAGCCAACAAATAAGAATCGAGTGCATACAAACTAAGCAATAAAAATCTCGTAAGAAGCAGAAACGAAGAACCAAAACTATAAGGTTTCAGAAGGGAAGTACTTACGAGAGAAGCGATTCTGGAGAGCGATTGAAGAGAACGGAATCAGAACATTCTTCGGAGACGAAATCGATCCAAAAACTTAAATAGAGAGAGCGAGAGAGCTGCATTTTTCGGCAATGATGAACCGAAAACGAAAGAACACGCAAAGAGAAGGGGAAAAAAGAGCATTGGAACTGATAAAAAGTGAGAGAAATTAAAAAAACAAAAAAAAACTAACCGATATAAAGAGAAGAGTCATGTGGAAGGAATGAAGCATTGGATGATCTTTATCCAGTAGCTTTAATTTCGAATCATCGTTGGCCCACCAAACGTCGCATCGAAGGCACTCAATGGCTCGTGGGCATCTCCAATTCGCATAAATTTCCAGTTTTTTTGGACGGATTTGCAAATTATGGAGATGGGTTTTGTTACTTTTGAATTGATTGAAACCCCCATATCATGTATTTGAGCAAATCATGACCAGAAAATTGCTATTTTTTTTTTTGTACTTGAGAAATTTAGGTTTGATTCTTTTTGATTGTCCATTCTTTCCATACTCTCCCCACGGTTAAAGTTTACGAGCTCACGAAAAAAAGTAAAGCCCTCGATCAGGTCAAACCCTTTCCGATTATTCATCGTTCTGTTCATTCCATTCTTCTTTCGAGCGGATTCGAGAAATATAGGTTTGATTGTTCTTCACTTTTTTCGATACTCTCCATTGTTAGAGTTCATGAGCTCACGGAAAAAAGTAAAGCCCATGGTCAAGTCAAACTCTTTCCGGTTATTCATCATTTAATTCATTGCATTCTTCTTTCGAACTGATTCTAAAAATTTAGGTTTGATTATTGTTCACTTCTTTCGGTACTCTCCACCGGTAGAGTTCATGAGCTCACTAAAAAAGTAAAGCCCTCAGTCAAGTCAAACTTTTCCCAGTTATTCATCATTCGATTCATTGCATTCTTCTTTCGGACCGATTCAAGAAATTTAGGTTTGATTGTGTTGTGTAGTCGATTCTCACAGTACTCTCCCCAGTTAGAGTTCATAAGCTCGCGAAGCGAAGTAAAGCCCTCGATCAGGTCCAACCCTTCCCGATCATTCATTATTCAATACATTACATTCTTCTTTCGAGCATATTCGTTAGCTTTTTGCCATCCAACCAATTTTATTATTACGACCTACAAAAATAGGTAAATTAAAATATATATTTAAAATAAATAAACAAGAAATCACAAGTGAATATCACTCCCATTTTCAAATATTAATAAATAAAATTCGAAATGAATATTTATATAAAAATATAAAAAAAACTAAATTCATAAAACTTTACATTATTAAACCATTAAAGGCATTAAATATATAATTTTATTAAATTAAATTAGGATATAAACACTCGAAGATAGAATAATATTTTCATAAATTTTAGTGAAAAAAAAGACATTTATATTTTAAAATATCCTTGATTGAAGCATTTAAATATTTAAAGTATTTTAATTTTTAAATAACAAAGGCTTAACATGAAAAAATGAAGGAATTTAATAGTAAGTCTTGGGGATTTGAATTATGGTGTGGTGTCTTATTGCGGTGCTTATGTGTGTGAGGCGAGGCATAATGATGTTACAGGTGGAGATTTTTTACTAAGGGCCGATTTCCTTTGCAGCGGGTTTTGTGGAAGTGGATAGCATCATAGCTTAAAGCCAAATTTAAATTCCAATTCAAAACAACCTTATAACTTTCGATAATTTTATAGACGGTGACAAAATATTATTTGACCAAACTTTTTAAAATAATGTCCTTTAATCATTTTCAAACTTATTTTACTTTTATGCTAAATTAATAAATATATTTCTCTACCTTTATAATTTATCTAATAAAAATATTCTTAAACCTTTCGGATTTTCTGTTTTTAAATATATATTACAAAAAATTATTAAATAGTTGAACTTTTAAAATTTTAATAATACCCTTCTAACTTTTTAAAAAATTTAAAAATATATTTACGGTTAAAAAAAATATTGTAAATTTTAGAAATTGAGTTAACACCTTTTATCTCTGTAAAAATATTATGTTGAAAACTGTCTATCAGCACCCCGTAGATTATCTCCAAACTTTTTAATATTATTTTTAAAATTTAATGAGTATTTTTTGAAACTGTGTTTTGAAGTTTTTAAATTTTTTTAAGGGTAATAATAAAAATTTTCAAAATTAAAGTTTAATGAGTATTCTTTGAAAGGGCGTTTTTGAAGTTTTTAAAGGTAATAATAAAATTTTTAAAAATTAAAGTTATTTTTTACCCCTTTTAAAAATTTAAGAGTATTTCATGAAATAATGTTTGCAAGTTAAATTATATTTTTAAAATAATTTTAAACATTTAAGACTATTTTTTTAAATAAAGTATTAATGGTTTTGAAAATTTTAAAAGTTTTAAAGGCACTCTAAATTTTTAAGAATACTTTTATTAATCTATTTTTTTTTAATTCTACCGTTTATAAATACAAAATTAAATGTCTAATTATTTTCATGGTTTATTTTTTTTTTAATTTTTTTTTTCAAGTTAAACGAGTTTAATAAGTATTTCTTTAAATACAAAATTAAAGATATATTTGCCAGGATTTTAGTTGAGATTCAGCACCGCGCTCACCTTCAATGGCGTTCAAATTGTCTTTTCCCTTTCCCATTTTCTCTCCTCAATTTAGCCCTAATTCAACTCCGTCGCACCGTCCTCTTACCGACATCCGATTTTCCCGTTGGAACAATGCAAACGCTGAGAAATTCGAGCAGCGCCGACGGTCTCAGCAAGAAATCGAGGATGAAATCCGCCGCGAGCGCCGCTTCGATTCCGCCGCAAGAATTACCGACCTCTGCGATTCCAACTCGTCCACCTCCGCCATTGACCGGACTGAAACGTTCAGGTCTGTCGGCACTCCATCGTATCCGTCGAGGCCTTCAATCCCTGGTCGAAAATCCAAGTACTCAAAAAACCCTAATCCTGGTTCACCCCCTCCATTTCGTCAAGTTTCGAAGACCAAAAAGACCATGAGCGCACCTAAAGAAATGCCTATAGGCGTAGAAGCCAATGTTAGCCTAAGTGAAGATGGAGTTTCGTACGTAATCGATGGAGCTCCATTTGAGTTCAAGTATAGCTACACAGAAACGCCGAAGTTGAAGCCGATAAAGCTGCGTGAACCGTATGCCCCGTTTGGGCCAACGACAATGCCGCGGCCGTGGATGGGGCGTGCTCCATTGCCGCCAAGCCAGAAGAATTTGCCGGAATTCGACTCGTTTCAGCTGCCGCCGAAAAATAAAAAAGGAGTTAAGACAGTTCAGGCACCAGGACCATTCTTAGCAGGTTCGGGGCCCAAATACGTGATGTCGAGGGAAGAAATATTGGGTGAGCCGTTAACAGAGGAGGAGATCAAGACGCTGATTCGTGGGAGCATCAAATCTAATAGGCAATTGAATATTGGTATTCCTTCTCTTAAATTCTTACTTGGCGATTTCCTGTTTAGCCAGATTTCTAAACACTGGATTTCTTCATTTGCGTTCTTGCCATTAGTTTTCCCAGTAATTTTTGAACAGAAATCTGTTAAATAGAATCTTTGGACTTGAAATTTATAGATTAGAACAGGCTCTGAATGGAAAATTCTATCTTCTCTGCATTTTGGGGTGTGGTGGGATGAACTTACTGAAATTTTTACTCTGAATTGCTTTTAGGTAGAGATGGTTTAACGCACAATATGTTGGATAACATACATGCTCATTGGAAACGGCGTAGAGTGTGCAAGATAAAATGCAAAGGAGTGTGTACGGTTGATATGGACAATGTGAAACAGCAATTGGAGGTTGATGCCTCTTTATTTATGCATAGCATTGACGGATTACTTCTGATTGTCGTTTAAATACACTAGCAGTTTTTCTTATGCCTCCTTACCAATACAAATATAAATTAGGTTAAACAAATATAAACTAGCAGTATAGTGTGAGATCCCACATCGGTTGGAGAGGAGAATGAAGCGGTATGGAAACCTCTCCCTAGCAGACACGTTTTAGAAACTTTGTGGAAACCCGAAAGGGAAAGCCCAAAGAGGACAATATTTGCTAGCGGTGGGCTTGGGCCGTTACAAATGGTATTAGAGCCAGACACCGGGCAATGTGCGAGCGAGGTGACTGAGTCTCGAATGTAAGGACATTGGGTCCTGAAGGGGGTGGATTTGGGGGGTCCCATATCGATTGGAGAAGGGAATGAGTGTCATCAAGGACCCTAGGCCTCGAAGGAGGTGGATTGTGAGCTCCCACATCGGTTGAAGAGGAGAACGAAACATTTTTTATAAGAGTGTGGAAACCTCTTCCTAGCAGACCATTTTAAAAACCTTGAGGGGAAACCCGAAAGGAAAAGTCCAAAGAGGACAATATCTGCTAGCGGTGGGCTTGGGCCGTTACATATAGCTTGTGTTTGGTTTCAATTTTATCCTTACGAGTCTTTGCCGTGCTTGTGAGTCTTTCTAGCTTCTTGAATTACTACAATGATGTCTTTGGTTTTTCTTGTGGTCGGTTGCTTGCAGTCTCTGTTGTTTTTAAGTTAAGACTTCGAGCCAAGACCTCCTATCTTGCCTTTGTTAAATAAATGTATTGTACTTTTTTGTTTTCTTGATAAACATACCATCAGCTTTGAGCAATGTAGTGTTGCTTTATGCTTCTAACTTGTTTTCTTGTTACATAATTTTGGTAGGAAAAAACTGGGGGCAAAATTATCTATAGTAGGGGTGGGGCATTGTACCTTTATCGAGGTAGAAATTACAACTATAAAACCCGTCCTCGCTTCCCTCTTATGCTATGGAAACCCGCTGCACCGGTGTACCCTCGGCTACTTAAGCAGGTCCCTGATGGCCTAACACTGGATGAAGTGACTGAAATGCGTAAGAAGGGACGGAAATTAATACCAATATGCAAGCTAGGTATGTGTCTTTTCTTACTCTTCCATCACCATGTGTGAAAGATGTTAGCATGCTAAATATTCTATTGTTTGTACATGTTGTAGGGAAAAATGGTGTGTACTCTAACCTCGTAAAACATGTTAGAGAGGCGTTCGAAGAGTGTGAACTTGTCAGGGTTAATTGTCAAGGGCTGAACGAGAGCGACTTCAAGAAAATCGGCGCGAAACTAAGGGTCTTCTTCTGTTTTCTCTCTTTGATGAAAAAGTGATCAACTCTATTTCTCATTGGGTTTTGCCAAGCAATCTATTGAACCAACTTTTTGATCTCTTTGACTACAGGATCTTGTCCCTTGTGTTCTTATTTCTTTTGAAAGCGAGCACATTCTTTTGTGGAGAGGAAAAGATTGGAAATCCTCCCTTCCATATG